AGGGGCAAGAGCAGGCTCCGGCCCTGGCGGCTTCGTTCTCGAGCAGCAGGTGTGTGGGTCGCGTCTGCCCCGGAGCTGCGGCTCCGCCAGAAGCTGGCAAGGGGATGGTGACAGAAGGCGAGCGGTGTGTGCACAGAGTCCCCTGGGAGGGAGAGCAGGTGCCGAGGGGCAGGGCCCACGCCCTGGGGCGCAGCGGGGCTGTCCTGTGCCTGCCTCGCCCTGGGCAGGACCCTGGACAGCTGCTGTGACTGTAGCCCGCCTGCTTCAGAGCCCCGAATTCCTCCTGGCCTGATGGCTGGAGAGGGGAACGGGGCCCCAGGGCTGGCGTGGCCCAGGCCCCAACCCAAGCCCAGCACGGTTCTCCCGCAGGCCCAGGAGGAAGCACGGCGGAACAGGCTGATGAGGGACATGGCGCAGCTCCGACTGCAGGTAGGACATCGCAGCCCAGATGCCCCTCAGCCTGGGTGTCGCCTAAAGCCCCAGCAGCCCCCCGCCCCCGCTCCTGTCCCCCACCACTTCGTCTCTGTCCTCCCGGGGCCGTCCACGAACCTGTCCACGGAGCCCTGGTGCCTTCTCGGTGCCTTCGCTGTGTCTTCTCTCTCTCTCCCTTAATCCTCGTTCTGTCTACTTCTCCAAGGCCACTGGGTGAGGGTCCCTGTCCCCTTAGCAGCGGGAGGAGCCCCGTGAGCAGCGCTCACCCGCCCGCCCTGCCTTCCCACCAGCTCGAGGTCTCTCAGCTAGAAGGGAGCCTACAGCAGCCCAAGGCCCAGTCGGCAATGTCTCCCTACCTCGTCCCTGACACCCAGGCCCTCTGCCACCACCTCCCCATCATCCGCCAGCTGGCCACCAGCGGCCGCTTCATTGTCATCATTCCAAGGACAGGTGAGCATAATGGGGAGGTGGGGGCCAGAGTGAGGCTGAGAGAGACTGTGGGCTTGGTATCAAGACACCCTTATTTGGGGCCCAGTTCACACACAGCGGCCTCAGTCAAGTCCTGTCACGTCACCTGTGAAATGGGCACAATGACCCTTGTTAAACCTCGACTCCCGAGCCGGTTGGGGAAAGTGCTCAGGAAGTGGCCAGGTTCGTGGCTGCCAGAGGTCGCACTCTGAAGGGTCTCTGGGGACCTTGTGGGCCTGGTCCCCTTCTGCAGTGTGTGCAGAGCCCCACAAGACAGCGGGCTGGCTCACCTGCCTTGTCCTTCCCCACCCCCACCTCGCCAACCAGTGATCGATGGCCTGGATCTGCTGAAGAAAGAGCACCCAGGGGCCCGGGATGGGATCCGATACCTGGAGGCAGAGTTTAAGAAAGGAAACAGGTGGGTGCAGACCCGCGGGGCCTGTGCTGAGCCCGCGTCCGTCTCCCAGCTGACCGTGGGACAAGTCGGTGGGGGCTGGGGGTGCGTGACACACACTTGCAGCCCCACTCACAGTTTGCTCACTGCCCAGGGAGGGAGGCCGGGTCTCAGGGGCCAAAAGCAGGTGATGGGAGGAGCAGGGAGTCCTGTGGGAGCACTGCCCTGTCCACTAGCTGTGGGGGCAAACGGGAAGCGGGGTCAGCAAGGGGAGGGCGCGGCCCCCCGGCTCCACACTGTGGGCCTCTGGGAGCTTGTCCTTTGGGGTTGCCAGGGCGGGGCTCCTGCCTCCGGGGGAAGCCACAGTGAGCAGACGTGCAGGTGCTCGACCCCAGGCCCTTCCTCGGGCCTCCTGCTGGCTGACACCCCCACCCCTGTCTGCCCGCACCCGGCCAGGGCACTGACAGCCGCTCGCTTGGGCCCTGCCTCCAGAAACCTGACCCGAAGAGCATGTTCTGCTGCTCTCCTCACCCTCCTTCCTGGAGGAGGGAGCGCGAGCTGGGCGAGGCAGGGCTCCCCTGGAACCCGCCACGACCGTAGGCGTCGCGCTGCTTTGTGTGGCTGTGTGCGAGGCGCTCTCCTCGGCCCCACCCCCGCTCGTGTCCTTTGCAGGTACATTCGCTGCCAGAAAGAGGTGGGAAAGAGCTTCGAGCGGCACAAGCTGAAGAGGCAGGACACTGATGCCTGGTAAGGGCCAGCCCTGCCCCGGGCCTCAGAATTCTGGAACAGGCGGCAAAGCCAGCCTGGGCCCGAGGGGCTTGGGCTCCGTGTCCTCATGCCGGTGCCAGCCTGCCCTGCTGCCCTCCCTGTCCCCAGCCTCCCCGGTGCCCTGGAAGTCCTGGTGTCCACGCTGTGTCCTCTCTCCCACCAGGACCCTCTATAAGATCCTGGACAGCTGTAAACAGCTGACCCTGGCCCAGGGGGCTGGGGAGGAGGACCCGAGCGGCATGGTGACCATCGTCACAGGCTTTCCACTGGACAACCCCAGTGCGCTCTCGGGCCCAATGCAGGTGGGTCTCGGGCGACAGGAGGGGACTGGATGGGAGGTGGCACCGGCGCAGATCCCCTCAGACGTCCCTGCTTCCCCAGCCCCCACCGACATGTCGCATGGTCAGCGTCCTCCTCCCTTTGTCTGGCCCTGTTCCACAGGGCGCTCTGCAGGCCGCTGCCCACGCCGGCGTGGACGTCCAGAACGTCCTGGACTTCTACAAGCAGTGGAAGGAGATTGGCTGACGCTGCCCCCGGGCCCTGCAGTGGGGCTGACTCCAGATCTCTCGTGCCCTCCCTGGCAGCCAGGACTGCCCCGTCGTCACCCCACCTCACGCAGACGCACGCACGCACGCACTCAGGAAGGAAGCCTGGCTGACGCAGGCTGGGGGGACCCGGAGGGGCTGGGAGGGCTGGTCCCCTGCTGCCGTACAGCGTCAGGGAAGCGAGGAAAGCGCTTGGGGCAGGAGAGGCCCGTGGGCCCTGGTCAGCTCTGCTGTCCCCAGGGACGGCGACAGGCGTGGCGTCTGCATTTCATTGGAGTAGTTCCTGGACCTCTGAGAGGGAGGGACAGCGGGGCCCTCCTTCCTCACCCAGCATGCAGAGGTTGGGGCCAGGAGGGGGCGCCCTCCAGCCCTGGGGAGAGTGGGCGACACCAGGTCTCAGGGGGTTCTCTGCAGACCATGCTCCTCAAGGGCCACTCACCCTCTGGTCTCCCTCTGTGGGGGCTGGGCAGCGTTGGAGCCTTGGGGACTCTTTAAAGAAGAGGGGCCTGGGGCTGGCCACGCTGAGAGCAGCCTGGGCTCACCCCTCCCCGCCACGGGCACGCACCAGCTGCCCACCCCTGCTTCTGTTTCTGCCCAGCGTCCAGGGCGCTGCGGGCAGCCCGCACGCCCTTGGAGGCCCCTGGGCCCACCAGCCCCACAGCATCTGCGCTCGTGTCCCTGGCTGCTGTGCCGGGGCAGTAGGGTGCCAGTGAGAGGGGAGGCGGGTGCAGGCCGAGGCCAGCTCCCTCCGATCAGGGGAAGCAGAGGCCCCTTGGCGCTGCCCGTTGGGGGCCTGTGTCCCGCTGGGCTTCCGAGTTTGTGGGGGACTGGAGCTGGTGGGGCTGAGCTGGCGGGCGGGCTTTCGGAGCAGAGGTGACCGGAGCAGAGGTGACCGGGAGAGCTGGGGAAATGAAGGGCGGTGCCTCAGCTGGGGTGGGGCGGGGCGTCAGCTCTGGGGCCCCCACCCCAGCGAGCCCAGCTTCCTAGGCTGTGCTCAGGAGAGCAGGCTTCCTGCCTCTTCAAGGTAGCACATCTGGGACAACCTGGGGGTGCCACCCCCACTCCCAGTGCCTGGCAGAGACTAAGACTAAAGCATCACTTAATAAAGACCCCCGAAGCCCGCTCTGTCTCCTGGTGCCTTTCTGTGGGTCTTGGAGTGGGGGTGCGGGGCTCTGAAACGGCATTCTGGAAAGGTTTGAGGTGGACCCATTGGAGCAAGCTGGCAGTTTTGTGACAACAATCAAGTTCACTGGCCCTGGGTCGAGCTGGAGTCTGCATTGTCCTGAGGGTGCAGTGCAGCCTGGGGCTGCTGTGCAGTCTCCAGCTGGGTCCTCTGAAGCAGAGCGCTTCGAGAGGGAGGCGGGGGTGACCCTTGAGGCCAGCCTGAGTCCTCAGTCCCTGTCCTCTGCAAGGACTGGCACCTCCAGTACCTGGGGAGTGAAGGACTTGGCAAATCTCTCATGGCTGCACCAACACGTGCTAAAGACACGACCACAGCGAAGCACAGTGAGGTGGTCTCAAGTCCAAGGCCAGGGTTGGAATTTGCTGCCCAGCCGAAGGGCCCCCTCCCCTGGGAGAACCGGACCAGTGGTGCAGTGCGGCCTGGGGGAGCATGGCCGAGTCCTGGCAGTGGCCCGGCTATGGCCAGTCTGATGGCCGCGGGCTGGGGTCGGGCTGGGGCTGGCTGTGCAGGAGGCCGGCAGTGAGCTGCCTGCTGATGGGGCCGGGCGCCCCTGGCTGCTCCCTGGAGGCTGAACAAGGCTGCGATTGTTCCCTTTGTCTCCCACTCCCCGCCCAGGCCTGGCCCGCCAGCCGCCACCCTGCTCTCCCGCTGCCGGCCTGGCGGGCAGGGGCACCCGGCCTGCTGACCCACCGGCTTGGGAGCGCCAGCCGCGCGCCGGGTAAGGAAGCCCCCCTGGGCTCTGCCACCCATCCTGGCGGGCTGGGGGGGCCTGCTCTAGCCGCACACTTCCAGAGACCGCAGCCCCGTGGAGGAAGGGACCCCGAGGGCAGCTAGAGCCCAGCCAGCAGCTGCCTCTGCCCCTCCCCGGGGCAGGGGTACCTTTCGAGCTTTTATCTATTTCAAGGCTCAGCCAATGGAGGGACTAGGGACGTCTGTCTTGTGCCCAGCTGGGTCCCCAGCACCCAGCTCGGGCAGAGAGGCCCCCAAAGTGTTGAATGACAAGAGCAGAGGCTGGGGGGACTGGTGGGGTGAGGCCCGGAGGAGCCGGCAGCAGGAACGGGCAGGGCCGTCTGTGGAGCTGCCGGAAAGTTTTGGCCCAGGGAGCTGAGGAGGGGGTGAGCGTCCCACTATCCGTCCTCCCGGGCCTCTGCCCCCCGGCCGGCCAGCCCAGCCCCTCCACTTGTGCCAAGGAATGTGCCTGGAGAGGCTGCCCGAGCAGCAGGCGGGGCAGCACACAGGTCTGGGCTGACTGGTGTGGGGCTCAGGAGGGGTGTGTAGCCCTCGAAGAGCCAGGCATCCCCGATTCACGGCCCCACCCGCGGGCATCTGGCCTCTCTGAGAACCGTCCCTCGCCTGCCTTTCCCCTGCTCAGCCCCGCCCTGGGCCCAAGGCTTTCCCTGGCTGGTGGGTGGGCTCGAGCCCTCCAGGTTGACGGGGGTGAGCCAGGCTTCTCCTGAGACAGAATGGGGGGCAGGGCCTGGACCCAGGGCTTGGGGTTCCTGAGGCAGCCTTCCCCTGGGGAGGAGACTGAGCCCCGCAGTGGAGGGACCAAAAGCCCCCAGGCTAAGATGGGGAGGGATCAGGAAGCTGGGCCAGCCTTCCTTGGCCTGAGGAAGCGGCTTGGTGCCCCGCTACCACCCACACACGTGCATGCACCCCTAAGGGAAGGTGGATGGGAACAGATACCTGAGCCCCGCCTCTGTCTCTAGGTCAACGTGGAGGTGCCCCGCAACCATGCTCAGTCTCAAGCTGCCCCAGCTGCTTCGAATCCACCAGGTTCCCCGGGTGAGGGGCTGCACCCCGCTACCCCTACTCCCCAGGGGACTGGCTGGGACTGAGGTTCTTCCAGCAACGGGATGTCCCTCCTGCAGGCTAACTCTTACCCCTCCCACTCCTGTTCCCCAAGGCACAGGCTTGTGGCCTGCTCCCTAGGCTAGAATGCTCCCTTCAGAGTCCCCTGCCCAGGGCGCCCCGTGGGTGCCAGCCCACAGCCCCAACCCTTCTTGGCTTCTACCACTGGCTCTTCTGTTTCTCATCAGCTCTCAGGGGATTGGAACCTGACTAAGATGGAGGTCGGGCTGAGTTTGGTCTTGGGGCCACTGTGACCTCCAGCCCATTCTCTGGTGGAGAAGGGGTCTGGCCCAGTGAGCCCCTTCTCCCTTCCCCCCGCCC